AATTTCCACCTTCAAGGGCAAGTAGACATTGAGACACTTCACTCTAAGTGTACATCAGTAGAACTGTTGCCTCCCACAGCGGGAGTGGGGCTGACAGGGAAGCAGTACATGTGGTCTTAGCTGTGGCCATGCTCTCCTCAGCAGGTTTTGTGGGCCCCAAACTGTCTGCATCCTCCTCATCACATGTCATAGAGAGATCAGACATCGAAGGGCAGGAGGTGATGGAGAGGTTACCCATTTTGTAGAAAGAAACAGAAGGCAAGCAAAAGTCAGAGAGAAGATGGCAGTCAACAAGGGTAGAAAATTGTGTAAGACCTTTATGGTTTATGATTACTGGGGGACTTCCAAGTTTTTTTTAGGCCATGGACATATGCCCATATGGTGTCTCTGGACAAGGGACGGCATTCAGGAGCCGAGCCTTGGTTCTGCTTCCTGGGGATTCAGCCCTTATGTGGAGGTGTCAGACAAACTGAAACAGAAAAATGTGTGCCTAGCTAGACAGACAGACAAACATGGCAGACAACATGAAAGACAGAGAGAGAGAGAGAGAGAGAGAGAGAGAGAGAGAGAGAGAGAGAAAGGGGGATCCCAATGCTTACCCACTGATGAGACTCAAAAGACACAACATTGAGGGGCTGTCTCATTGAAACACACCAGCTCTGGGGCACTGTCCAATGCCATGAGTAAGTGGAGGGAAATGACCAGAACCTGTTTGGGTGCCAGATGTTCCTGGGTCTAAAGACTCCCTCGGAGGAGGTAGTGGGAAGGCACAGAGTCAACAGCACAGATACTGAGAGTCATTTAAAAGGCAAAGAGCAAACTTGTTTATTCAGCAATGGGGAGAGCCTTATATACCCTCCTCCTAGCACCCAGGCTGCATCCTGCTATGGTTACAATGCATGGTTGCCCCTCCTTGGCTAGGCATGATCAGGACCTCTGATAGCATCTGTTGCTAGGCCCTCAGGCAGACTCCTGGTTGGCTCATCTCTCAGTCTCATAGGCCTTATTTTCCTATACTCCAATAATTTCTATGTGATGACTTGGTATTCAAATGTAATGTATTTCAAGTTAATTTATATTTCTGTTATATGTGGCTGGTGGTATTTACTTGACTAGAACAAGGTAAGTTGACCAGAACAAGGTCTCCCCTTCCTTTCTCTCATCTCTTCTCACAATTAGCCATGCTTACTTTTCTCACAATTATTACGCAGCTGACATAGTTTTCTATACCTTTCTCAACCATGATGTTCTTATGGACAGAATGTTTTTCTGTCTTTCTTGGTGTATAATAGTTTATGATTATACATAATCATAAACTTGTCCCTTGTCCAGAGACACCATATGGGCATATGTCCATGGCCTAAAAAACACTTGGAAGTCCCCCAGTAATCATAAACATAGGAAAGGAAAGATGATTTTAATACAGTAAATTATTCTGATTAATTTTGTGTTGGTGTATAGCCAGTGATGCTGTGTTGCATAAAAGGCAAGAGCAAAGAAAAGCACAGAATAGGGACTGAGCAGCTGGATGTGGCTCAGCTGTTAGAGTGTTTCCTAGAATATGAAAAGCCCTTTGCTGGTCCCCAGGACTGTGTAAACTAGGTGCAGTGGTTCATGCCTATAATTCCAGCACTTAAGAGGTGAAGAAAAGATGATAAGAAATTCAAAATCATACTCAATTGCATAGAGAGTTGGAGGCAAGCCTGGGTTATATGAGATTGCCTCAATAATAAAGTGTAGATGGATGGGCATTTGTTTTGATGACTAGAGGAGGCAAGTATCATAACAGATGTCAAGAGGAGTAAAACCATGGCAGACAAATATTCAAATGTTAACTTTAACATCTTCTGGCCTAAGAGTCTTTGATTACTTACCTAAATAATAGAATAGAAGGAAATGGTACATGCCTTATCAGTTCATTTACATTGTCATTGCCAGACAGGGTAAGAAGTAGTAAGGAAATATTAAATATGCAAAGCAAACTATTTCACCTCAATGATTGATTTCTAATGAATATTAGCCATTTGGATAATTGAATTGGCTACAAAGTGCATGCTAAGTTAATTCATTTTTAGAAAGAGCAGTAGAGATATGATGAATCACAAATATAATGGCTACAAATAGGACCCTGAAAGGATATGAAGACCTAGCTTATAATGTCATTGTCTTAATCATGCTATCTCATACAGTGACAGTGATATTATGGAAACAGGAGCTAGAGGTGAGGACTCAGAATAATGTTTTGAGGACAGGAAATACTAGTTCTAAACTTAAACCAACATAAGTTCTAATATACATCATAGAAGTCTCCGTTTTATCTTCAGGTCACTGAACAATGAATTTTATGTTCAGGTCACTGAACAATGAACCATTCTTCCACAGACGCACAGAACCTACACTGGATTTTGTTCAGGGCTGAGATTGTCTCATGTACAAAGTTATGAGCTCAATTCCCAGCACCACAAAAACTGTGTAAGATGATATAAGTTTGTGATCCTACTGCTTAAAACATGGGGGCAGAAACATCAAAATTTCAAGATTGGGGGTAGGGAATTTGTCTTAGTAAAGTATTTGACACACAAGCGTAAGGCCCTGAGTTCAGATCTCAAGCCCTGTATAAAAATTCTGGAATACTGATATTTACCTGTAACTTCAACACTTGAAAGGTAGAAATATGAGGATTCCTGGGGCTGCTGGCTAGCTACCTCAACAGGTCAGTGAGTTCTTTGTTCAGTCTCCAAAAAACTTGTGGAAAAAGGTTTGGTGAAGACATTCAAGGTCAACCTATGGTCTCCACACATCCACACACATACTGGGGCTCTACTGGCAGGTGCTCCTGCTTGTGCAGCAGCCACATTAAAGAAAGAGTCATTTCCCAGCCTCCAATTGTTCTTTATAATAAAAATGTATTTGCATCTGAGAAATAAAAAGTACCCATCATGAAATGAAGTGCATTGCAAATGTACCCACACAGCATATAGCTTTTTAACATATAGGTGTGTAGATGTAACCAATCATCTTATTAAATAAGAAACACAGAACCAATGCAAAGAAGAAAGCCAAGAGATCAGAGCTAAGAGCCTTACCGCCTGGTGCAGCTAGCCTCTTAAGTCAAGAGACCTCTCTGAAAGGGGCCTACTTCCTATGTGTTTGTCTTTAAATAGTCTTTCTGTTCTGCCTTCTCATTGGTTGTAAACCCAAACACATGACTGCCTCATCACTGCCTGTATGTACAGCCCTCCAGGTCTTCTATGGTATTGAGATTAAAGGTGTGTGTCTCCAATGCTGGTTGTATCCTTGACCACATAGAGATCTACCTAACTCTTCTACCAAGTGCTGGGATTAAAGGTGTGCACCATGAATGCCCAGCTCTGCTATGGTTTGCTATTAGCTCTGACCCCCAAGCAACTTTATTTATTAACATACAAATAAAATCACATTTCAGTACAAATAAAATGCCACCATATCAGTGTGCAGCATACACACTTTCCTGGTACAGAAGACCATCAGGGAAGGTTTTCTTGAACTCCCAGTCTAATGTACTAGCCTCTAAGGTCAGCATTATGCTTGTTTTGTGCTGTTGGAAATTAGTGAAGTGAGGGTTAGATGGGAAGTTTTATTTTTAATCTCTTCTCAAAGCCAAACACTCATAATGACTAAGTAGTTGAAACAATGCAAAAATCCGATCTGCTTCTCTCAACACAGTTGGCTGTTCTTTTTATGTTTGGTGCCCCTGCTCCCTGTTTTCAATTCAAGATGTGAATCCTCAGATCCCTCCTCCTGCTGCAGCTTGTTGCCAGTCTTTGCTTCACTGTCAAAGACTCTAAGCCTCTGGAACAGTAAGCACAGATAAACTCCTGCTGCCATCAGTTACTGTGGCATGGGGTTTTCTCACAATATAAAAATAATTAATACAATGCGCAGCTGTGATTTCTGAGGAGCAGGAAGGATAGAGTCTGACTTTCAGTTAAGATGTGGTGGCTTCTGAGGCAGGTATCTTCTACTAGGAGCTCCAGTTTCATCTAAAAGTTGGTGATAAGTAATGTGATCAGTAGATTGTAGGAGGCTCTCTAAGAGCTGCCAGTAAAGTGATTGCCTTGCAAGCACGAGGACCTGAGGTCAATTCCCAGAACGCATCTAAGATTCGTTCATGACAGTGCATGCTTTTGATCCCATGGCTGAAAGACAGAGTCAAGTGAAATTGGGGCTTGTTATCCAGACCACCTAGTATGCCTAGCCTACTCAGTGAGCTTTAGGCTAATGACATACTCTGTCTCAGAAACATCAAGCTAGGTAGTACATGAGGAATGTTGTTCAAAAGTGTCATCTGGCCTCCAAAAACAGGTGCATAAACATACAAACTCCTCATATGAATTTATGCACACACACACACACACACACACACACACACACACACACACACACACCACTAAGCTCAAGAGCCTCACTTAAGGCCATGAAAAAATTCATACTAAATTTTTTAAACAAATATCTATTTTAATTTTAATCATGTGTATATATGTGTGTCTGTGTGAGTACATGCCACGTGTGTTTGGATGCACACAAAGGCCAGAGGGGTCAGATCTCCTAGAGCTTACATCACAGGTATGTGTGAGAAGCCTGATGTGAGTGCTGGGAATCAAACTTGTCTCCTCTGGAAATATAATACAACCTCTTAAACACTGAGCCATCTCTCCAGTCCCCTATTTTAAAACATCTAGTTGCAGTGTTAAAAACAGTGTCTGGTACCTGGAATGCCACCCAAGTGCAGAAACACTGTAATCTAGTTCCAAACTAGCTTTAAAAACATTTAATTCTGCATTTAGTTATAATACTACAGCTCCCGTTCCTAAGACAAATACAATCTGGGGTTTTTTAAATTGTCTCTGATAAACCTTGGAATACAGTGAACAGAGGGCATGAAACCAATTCAGCTGAATGCATTGTTTATTGTCTACATGCCATCCTAAGGGGAATTCTAGAAATTCACTTTTCATTAGCATTCATGAAAGTGTTCCCCCTTAGCAAGGGGCTCTCCGTACATAATATAACATCAGATGATTTCTTCCATTTTAAGTAGCTTCCAGCAGTCCATCTGAACAGTTACTATGAAGCTACTGCTAAAGCTAAGTCCCTTGAGATTCTCTGATGACACTCATCTTGCCAGGTAAGAGAGAGTTAATAGAAAATTAAACAGCACCAACACCCAGAGAATATAAGAAATATTAGTTCAGTACACAGCACTATTATTCCACTCTGATTAACAGTAAGTTATAGGGAAATACACTGGCTTTCATTTTGGTTCACAAAAAGCATGCATCAAAATGCAGAAAGGAGGGATAACTGAAACAAAAGCTTTTTACAATTTTTTGTGCTATTCTCTGAATAAAATGTGACCTTTTCCTAATATTAATACAGAATTCAGTTAAATGCATATCTATTGGCATTCTGTCATACACTACACAGAGATGTAGCCATGCCTTACTGAGAGCTAATGAGAACAATGAAGATTGGCAGTGATGTAATGACACTAAAGAGAAATGCTGCTGCTGAGTGGATGAAAGGTACATATTTATTTTACTATTTTGTATAGGTGTGTGTGTGTGTGTGTGTGTGTGTGTGTGTGTGTGTGTGTGTGTGTCCATGTATGTGCAGGTACACATGTGGGCCAGACAGCATGCACAGAATTTCCTGTGGAAGTCAGAGGACAACTTGGGTGTCATTCCATGAACATTGTTCTCCTTGCTTTTTGAGACAGGGTCTCTCCATGTGTCCAGAGCTTGGCAAATAGGCTAGACTGGCTGACCAGTGACTCAAGGCATCCTGCTGTCTCCGCCTGACCAGCACTGGATTACGGGCACTCTACCCTGCCTGGGTTCCTTAGGTCTTTCTGTGGATCAGAAACAGGCCCTTATGCTTGTGTGGCGAACACTATATCAGCTGATTTCTCTCCTCAGCCAGAGATGCATATTTTAAGTCTTCAATATTTAGGTCTAGTCAGCTAATACAGGAAGTTGAAACTGCTCAAAATACAGAGAATAAAGTATCTTGAATATTTAGCCACAAATAGAATATATCATTCACACTTCCCTCCCACAAGGCTCAGGGACAGTTATATGGGGGAAGGGGAGCAGAAACATTGTGCTCACACAAGAGAGTATGGAGGACCATAGTGAAAGAGTGTCTTCTGGACGAGATGAGGTTGTTGCTCCCATAAACCAACGGCAGCTATGGTTGGTTGCCTGCACAGATCTGCATAGATCACACCAGTCAACATTTCAGCAAGGACTGGAGAGGGGCTCATGAGGAGCTGCTGATAGTTAATGGCTACTGGCAAAGGGAGAGTCAGTTATCTTTAGGATGAGGTTCCTGGTGTGTTGTCCAAGGCCCAGTGGATGGTTCTATACCATGAGTAAATGAGCAGCACAGACTGGACTTGGGGTGATGAACAAACAAACAGAAAATGAAGATGAAGTTGTGAAAAGAGCCATGGGTGAGTGAGTTCTGGAAGGAGTCTGGGGGAGAAATGGGAGGCAAATATGATCAAAACATACTGTGTATATGTGTGTGCATGCATGAAATTCTCAAAGAATTCATTTAAAGTGTTATATTTGAAATATGTAGCTATAATTAAAAGTATGAAAATTGCATATGGAGAAAAATAAAACTTTGTATTTGGGGAGGAAATATAAGTTGCTATAATTGATATAAGAAGCAATAGAGTGATTTCCTCACTCTCAAATTCTACCTCCCATTACCATCATGGGTCAGTGTGTGATGAGATAACAACACTCCAGTGTTCCTTAGCACTGGTCACAGGTCCTGAGGTATCAGCTCAATCAAGTGTTCATCAGTAGGTCAGCAGATTTTTTTTTAAAAATTCAGTAGATACACAAAGAGGAATATTGGTCAGCTTTTGAAAAGTAAATCTTCTCATGTGTGACAACATGGGTAAATCTGAGGACACTGTATTAGGTGAACTAAGTCAGACACAGCCAATATTACACAACCTCATTTACATTTACATGCTATCTATGAAAACTCTGATTTAAAAAAAACACTAAGTAATGTTGGCCATGAGCTGGTAAGGTGAGTGTGTGGGATTGAGGTAATGGTTATCAAATGATAAAAACAGCAAGTTAGAAAGAATTAGTTCAATTTTACAAGATGTTGACTATTCATGCCAATGAATGGTATTGCTTGAAATTTGCTAAGTATGTGAAAAGAAAATGTCTATGTATTTTAAATGATATTGTGCACTATTCTAGTCAGGTTTGCCAACTTGGCACAGCCTGGAGTCACCTGGAAGGAGAGTCTTAATCAGGAAACTGTAGATCAGGTCATCCTGCAGAGGGTTGTCTTAAGTTAACTGATCTGAGGAGACAGTGTACTATAGGCAGCACCGTTCCCTTGTCAGGGGCTCCTGACCTGAATAAGAGAGGAGAAAGCAACAAGCCATCCTTTGTGCCTTGATTTCTGCTCTCTCTTGAATGTGGATATGTGACTAGTTTCTTCAAGCTCCTGCCATTGTGATTTCTCTGCTAAGAACAACCATAATTTAGTATTGTAAGCAGAGTAAATCCTCTTCTGTAATCTGTCTGTTAGAAGTAAACTAGAACACTCATCATAAATACATAAAATGTATTTTTAGGTAATGATGAAAATGGGAGAAAACACAGATTAATGAGGCTGAGAACATAGTCTTACAAAACTTGAAAGAAACTGATATTTAGCAGTAGGTGAAATATTTAAAAACCTATAAAATAAATTGTAAAGGTACTATATTTATCAGGAAGCATGACTGACATGTTATTTCAATTGGAAACATTCTCAACATCTACTCCAAGGGCAGCCCAGGTGGATCAGCCCAATGATCTGAGTCCAATTCCTGGTACCCCCTCGCATCTCTCGTGCCTACAGTTCAGGGCACAGTGCCTATGGTCCCAGCACAGGCCAGAACGCTCCTCCTTATCTACTGCCGTCTTGTTGATGACCAGAGCTGCCTTCTCAGCACTGTCCTCAGCAAGGCTACCCTGGCTCTCAACGCTCTCCCTGCCAAACTTTACACTTTTCATACTTTTCTGATCTCTTGGTGTGGATCTGCACAGAAACAGTGGGCAGAAGCTACGCCACTGCCTAAATGCTGTCCTGATCTGAAAATGGCCTCCATCAAATAAATTAGTTCATTGCTTTTGACATAAGTTTCACTGAAATTTGCAGGCACAGAAATGTGTAGCCAGATTCCTTGTGAGAATGCAGATTGAAAGGTGTCTAGCACATTTCTTGATGGGGTCCTAATTCCCCCTTGAAGTCTCATGGCCTGGGCCCTCACTGTTTATATCTTATGGCCTGTTTCTTACTGCATTCTCTGCTTGTGAAAAGCCACCAGAATGGTCCATTGAGCTCTGATTACAGTATTGTGGGGGCTTGTTAGTCCCAAATCCCAAATGTTTCCACATTCCTCCCACAAACCAATATCAAATGACTGAGAATCACAAGGGAAGGTTTATCACAGGAACACCTCCTTCTCAGTACCAATCACGGAGATATCTCCTTCTCAGTACCAATCACAGAGATACCTCACTTCATAGTACCAATCACAGTCACACCCCACTTCTCACTACCAATCACAGAAACACCTCGCATCTTGGTATCACTCTGTAATCCTTACTTTTCTCATTGCTGTGACAAAGTGCTTGGCTGAAGGAAAGGAGTTATTGTGGATCACAGTTGGAGGGTGTCATCTACAACAGTGGAGATGTCACAGCAAGAGGGGCAGGAGGTAGCTGGCTACATTGCATCCATAGAGAAGAAGTCGAGAGATGAAGGCAGATGCTCATCTTGCTTTCTCCTTTTTATTCATTCCAGGTCAGTGGTCCAGCACATTTGATGACACTGGATGCCTTTAAGGTTGGTTTTTCAATCTCAGTTTACAGAATCTATAAGTCCCCTTATAGATATGTCCAGAGATTTGTCTATAAAGTGATTCTAAATCCTGTCAAACTGACTATTCTGTACATCACATAAAGGTTCTCGCTTTATCTCAGTGGAAGTTCTGAACATATCTCTTTATTTTATTACTGTTAGTTTTAGCTTTGGGAAAACTATAATTCTGTATTAAGTGTCTCTATGCTGAGACAAAAGATCACTAATTTAATGTATTTTCACAATTTTGCCTTTTATCCTTTGTCAGTGTGGGGGCAGGATGGAATACCTAACTATACTATCATCTGTTTAGTCTTTAGCTTTAGGGTCAGTTTGAGGTTCCCAGTTTCTCTGTGGGTTCATATTTAACTTAGCAGTGATAAGCAGTTGCTCTCTGCACTGCCCAGTTTTTGTCAAATTCACCCAAGCTAGAGACTATTTTATTTTATTTTATTTTATTTTATTTTATTTTATTTTATTTTTTGGTTTTTTCGAGACAGGGTTTCTCTGTGTAGCTTTGCGCCTTTCCTGGATCTCGCTCTGTAGACCAGACTGACCTCTAACTCACAGAGATCCGCCTGGCTCTGCCTCCCGAGTGCTGGGATTAAAGGCGTGCGCCACCACCACCCGGCGAGACATTTTATAAGAGGAAACTTCAATTGAGAAACTGGCCCCCACCAGATTTGCCTGTGGGCAATTCTGTGATGCATTTTCTTGATTTTTGATTGATGTGCAAGGGCCCAGCTCACTGTGGGCAGTGCCACCTGTGGTTGGTGGTTCTGGGTTCTGTGAGAAAGCTGGCTGAAAAAGCCATAATGAACAAACCAATAAGAAGTCCTTCATGGCCTCTGCATCAGCCCCTGCCTCCAGTTACTTCTGGTCATACTATTTCTTTTCTCACAATAATAAATCATAAGTACTTCTTCAAAAGTGGGAATTTGAAAACGTGGAGTTGCCTGGTTGAGGGATTGCTTCCTCTCAATCCCCGACCTATTGCTCTTCCCAGTTCTTACTGATCTGTAGAGCGGCAAGGCACAGCTCCAGTTTCAGTGGGCACAAGAGGAGATGCCACTTATGGCAGCTTTG